CGCGGAGGCCAAGTCCCCTTTAAATCTCGCCGCCTGCCCCCCTCCCCCCTCGCCTCCGCCTCCGCGGGGCTCCCCCCCTCGTACCGGCTCCTCCGCGCCTCCGCCTCCTCCCGCCAGCGGGACTCCCAGCCGCTCCCACAATGCACCGGGCCCGGGCTCCCTCCGCGCCGCCTGAACAGAAATGCCGCCGCCGCCGGGCGCGAGGGGGTTAACGCCCCCCCCCCGCGGGGGCCGCGGCCGAGCGGGGGCCTTTAAGGGCGGACACCTGCCTTTAAGGGGAGGGGAGAGCCGAACAGCGCGCGCTATAGCGGGGCCGCCCCTTGGGGCGGGGAGCTGGGGGGACCGCCCCCCTCCCTGCCGTGGGGGTGGAGCCGTGGCTCGCGCCTCGTGTCGTCACGCGGCCGTTGGGGATCCCTCGCTCCCGCAGGCACCAGGTGCACGGGGTAGGAAGCAGAAAGCAGAACAGTGCATCTTGTCTGGCCCTCAGCTCTGCTTTCTGCTCCCTTTCCTGTGCACTCTACCCCATCCACTGCTCTGCTTTCTGCTTCCTTTCCCTGTGCCCCCGTCGGATCCACAGCTCTGCTTTCTGCTCCCTTCCTTGTGCACCCTGCCCCACCCACAGGTCTTTCTGCTCCCTTCCCTGTGCACTCTACCCCATCCACTGCTCTGCTTTGCTGCTCTGCTTTCTGTTCCTTCCCTGTGCACCCTGCTTGATCTGCTGCTCTGCTTTCTGTGCACCCTGCCCCCATCCCCTGCTCTGCTTTCTGCTCCGTCCACAGTGTGCCCTGCCCAATCTGCTGCTCTGCTTTCTGCTTCCCTAGCCTCTGTCCTGTCCTGTCCAGCCCACGGCTCTGTTTTCTGCTCCCCACCCAATCCGCTGCTCTGCTTTCTGCTCCCTGCCCAGTCTGCTGCTCTGCTTTCTGCTTCCTTTCCCTGTGCGCCCTGTCCAATCTGCTGCTCTTAGCATGGCTGACCCTCCAGGATTGCCCTGGTGTCTCCAGGAATGAGAGAGCAATCTCTTGGAGGCTGCTGAGAGGTAAATGATGGGGAGTGCTCATTAAAATAAATATGAAACGTTGAATCCGATGTATGCAGTATTCCAATGGGTTTTTTAAAAGTAACAGGAACATGCGTTTGCCTTCCTGATGTAGAGCCTACGCACCGTGATGTGTAACTCATCTGCACGAGCTCACGGGCACGTTGGCGTTGTGTTGTGGGCACACTAGTGTTCCAGAAACCTCCCGAAATAGATTCGAACAGAGTTGGCAATCCTAGCTGCTCTGCTTGCTGCCTGGTCTGCTCTGCTTTCTGATCCCTGTTCTATTGGCCCCTATGCTGCCTGCTCCCTCCGGGCTCTGCCACGTGCCGTGCACAAGCTTCCCTTGCCACCTGCGGGATCTGTGCTGCAGGTTGGCCGCCCTGGCCTCGCGCGTGCAGGCTGTATTTTAGACTCACGATTGTGTCAGCCTCTAGCTGTAGGCGGCAGGTGTGCTTCAAGCCTTGGACCTAGCAAAAATGGCTTTAAGAGGTCTTTCCCTCCACCACAAACAGTACTTGATATCATTAGCTTTGGGAGAGGTTTTGTGACCAGCATTACTTCTCCCTCTCTACATTTGTTCACGTGTTTTTTGCATAGATTGCGACGGGCCAGAGTCAGTTTTATGTGTTTACGTTAAAGTTTGCTTTCCTGTGTGACTTTTGTGTGGGCGAGTCCACTGCGCTTTGGGGCTTGCAAAAACACTGCAGGGGTATGTTTAAGCCCAAACATGAAAAGTAGAAGCGGTTCTTTTTTAATCTCTAGTTGGGCATCTAATAGTATGGTTAGTCATGTACGCTTTGGGGCAAAGTGTCTCTTGAACGCACTAAAACTCTCGTATGGATGAACCAGGGGGTAGTTTTAACACCTTTTAGGTGGTAGCATTCAAATAAAGGAATGAGCACAGGACTGATCTCAACCAGCTAACAATTAAGATGAAAGCTTGTCTGTCTGCACCAGGATACTATTACATGGGTAATGTGGGTCCTGGACCAGTTGGAGCAATGTCTCGGACTGGCCAGGACAGGCACGCATCTCAGGCCCAGTGCGTGGGACTGGTCCAGCCATGCGTAGATCAACTCAGACCCAGGGCATCACCAAGGGCTGGATGATGGGGCTCTGCAGGCCAAATCCAGCACATGGGCCGTACTGTTGATGCACCTTAAAAGATGCTTTAAAATCCAATCCGGCAAACTTTACCAGGCTGGTCCAGACCAGGAGGAATGCATGCTTTTAAAAAGAATTTGCTAATGTAGAGTGCCAATCAAAAAACCTGCTATTCCTGTCCTGTGGGAAATTCTGAGAATTTGGCACTTTGTTTTATCATGAACTGGGTTGAAAAGTAAAACCTCTGAATTCTTCATTAAATGAAAGTCTGAATATATTATTTCTACAGTTATCAAACTTTTATTTCAATACTACAAAGTTTTAATACGATCAAATGATTTTACTTTTTCATCTGGATTTTTATATTAAATAATAATGAGCAGCAAAAAGTTAATGCTGAAATTAACTTGGTCAAAAGTCAGCATCTTATGTGTGGGGAAAAACGTGCTGTCAGATGATTTTTTTTATTTGTTTACGTGGCTTAACTAAAATTATTTAAACTGCTACTGTAGGCAAGGCAAACTACTTTAACATGTGGTAGGTGGCCATTTTGTAGCCTAAACTTTTCCACCACCCCAGCTAATGTGTGCTAAACTACTATTTGTCCGGCTGAAAATATTTTTACAAGACACTTTATGCCAGTGCAGACAAGCCGACCGAGTTTTTAATAGAACAACTTGGTTCAACAGCACCTGTGGGATTGGATTGTTAAGGCAAGATGGGAGCTTTTGCCCAAGGAGGCTGCGTCCACACAAGCATGGACATTTGTTTCCCCAGGGACAAAAAGCAGTGGCACATCTTGTGCTGCTACTAGCTGTCCATGGGGAACACCTGTGCCACGCACCCTCTGGCGCCCAGCAGGTTACCCCAGTGGGGTAGGGGATGTTGGGGCCAGCAACCGTGCTGGCCCCAGCAGCCTTCCCCGGGGGCTCCTGCTGCTTGGAGCCTGGCCAGCAGCTGGTGTGTGGCATCAGCCAGCCGGGCTCCTGTTTTGGGCAGCGCACACTACCCCTGTTTGCACTGCCCTGCTTTTTTTTTTTTTTTTTTTTTTGCATGGGTTTTTTTAACCTCAGGATCTTCTAAGGTCAAAAAACCCACCCCACAATGCTACCTTGCAGTGTGGGGAACACCTGAATTACGATGTGTGGCCCTGGGCAGACAGGTCTGTGGTGCCATGTACCACACAGCCACACTTATCTGGACATGCCTGTAGAGGATTGGGTTTTTAATTTAACTTCAAATGGAAAAGTTGACCTCTGTGGGGATGGGTCTGGCATACAAGCCTAGGTAGAAGAAAATGTGCTGTTGTAGATTTTTTTTAAAGATGTGTTTGTTTATTAACAAAATCTCAAACGTTTAATCGATTACTTGCTGTTTTCTTGGTTTTTATAGAGTATCTGGCTACCTGGGCAGGGTGATACCTTGGAGACTAACTGGTTCAGAGAGGCACGAGCTCTTGTATAGCCAACAACCTACTTTATCAGATGCTATGAATGTACGATCTGAAGCCTCCCATCGTGAGACTGAGATAACATGTTTTCTGGCAGAAAGTTGTAGGCTAAACGTGACTATTTAACCAGGCAATTTAAATCATTCTAACAGTAACACATCCTCTTCCTCATTTATTCTGCCTCTTGACTCTGTGTCATCTGAAAACCAGAGCAAAAAAATTATAAACATAATTAAGATTACTGATAATTCACGTTACTGGGGCAATAAACAGCTCTTGGTCCTGCTACCAATGTTTCAGTTGACTGGATCTCCCTAGTAACAGCTGACTTTTTGAGATCAGTCAGCAAGCCAGTTTTTAATCTGGTAATCTGCCTTGTTATTTACAGTGCAAGTCTCTGAGTCTGCATAATTTCTAAATAAGACAACGTTTGATGAAGAATTAAACCACAGCAAAACAAAAGGTAAGTTCTGAAAGATATTACCCACGCAGACCTTTAACGAGCTTCAACCTCTGTGCACTAACATAATGTGTTCAGTCTTTCCAGCTTCGTTTTCCTTAGTATCCTTATACAAACAAGCCATACATTTGCAGAAATCCATTCGGGGACCTGTGTTAAGATTTTTACTAAAATCAATTTGACATGTTGGAACCTGAAATAATAAAAAGGGTTTAGGTTTGAGAGCCTCTTCAGTTTGTTCTTACGCCTCAAACGCTTGTAAAAATGTATGTGAAAGAATATATATGCATTAACTAAGAAAACCCATTCACTTTGCTTAAAACTTGTCTTGTAACAAGCTGTCTTCACAAAATGGGATATTTTCTTGTTATGGATAGCATAGGGCCCAATTTGGTAACTCTTGAATAGAGTAGAAAGGCAGCTAGCATATTGTAATGTGCAACTAAGTACCTAATTAAGTAATTGCCTGCTAATTCAAAGAGTGGCTTTTGTGTAACTGTCTTGGAAAAAAGTCTCGTCTAAAAGTAAGTAGAAAACGAAGGAATTAACTGAAAAGAAAAACAATTTTATAATTACTTTTTGTGAGTGAATGCACTGGGGCTGGGCCTGATCCTGCTAGCTGTTGTCACATAAATTGGCTGGAACTGAGGGTGCTCAGTGTCTCCTAGGATCAGCTGCCATGAGAAAGGCAGGCACTAATAATAGTGAGCACACTCTGTAGCTTTGCAAACTCTCCTGTCAGATACTTTATGCTTGACCTGCCAAACTTTGGTGTTTCAGCCTTAACTTTCTCTTGAGCAGACGTTGCCAATTTGAATGAATGTGCTCATGACATAGACTGGGGGGTGTCAAACGTGTCCTGTGGGGTTCCCAGACGGATCAGGAATTTGGAGATGTGTGTTGGTGATGGGAGCTGAACAACAGCTGCATTAACCAGAGCTGCTATATCTAGCTTGCAAGGAGCATTACGCACTGAATCCAGCTTTCAAGGAGGGATGAGTCTGACGCTCCTGATATAGACTGTGAGGGACTAAGATAGACAATGTCAGTCACTTCTGACCCATAATTATGACTGATATCTCCAAGCATACTTATTCAAGAGGAAGAAGGGTATGATTTGAGCTTACCTAGGAGGTCTATTGTAAACACTGACCCAGTGCTATTTTTGTATTTGATGTTACAGGATAGGTACATGTTTTAGTAGATACTTTTAATGACATCTAAAAAAAAGCCTCATCAGTGTTGTCAGGTATCCAGGTTGTAGCCATATTGGTTTAGAGGAAAAGGCAATCAGGACTCGTAGTAGAGATGATATATTTTATTAGACCAAAAAGCTTGCAATTAAAGAATTTTTTTGCAAAAATCTTGTTGATCTAATAAAAGATATCTCTACTATGCATCCTGATTTTCATTAGTGTTGTGGGAGGTAACCAATGCACTGCCCTCGCTCTCAGACTTTTTGCTGTTGACAATATTGCTGAGCCCTACATTTGAAAATCATGAGTCTGGTCCCAAAGAAAACAACCCCTGATTTTATTTTTTTAACCAACTAATACATTTGGATACTTTGCCCTCTGGTTTCTGAGCTTTTAGGGAGCAAGTGTATCACATTTTCAGTTTTTCTTTAGAGCCATGTGCCCAAGTGGGAAAGACCAGTTTTCTTGGTTATGTTTGAATCATGAAAGTCAAGATGTTCAGGCAGTATGTTTCCAGCAGGTAATGCTTTAAAAGAAAGTGCCACATACTGTGAGACAGTCAGGTGGTGTAAACCTTGCTGCACACCTTGCTTTTCTGAAAAGTTCACCAGTTTCCCATGTCCTTGTGGCATTGTTCAGCCAAGTGCACTATTAATGCAGTGTTAAACACCAAGGATGCAATGGTCTTTACCTTGCTATGCTTCGCTGGGACAGAGGAGCTGATTTCTAGGCACAAAGCTTTACTAGATATGGGACTACTGATCCAGGATGAAACTGGGAAGTGAACAGTAGGTCTGCCCCGGGGGTCTTCCAGGGGAGGTCAGGTTGAGAGAAGGGAACTGAAGGGAGGGAAGACAAGCTGGGATCCCATGGCAGAGGCAGGGTAGAGGGGTTAGAAGTAACAGGTGTTTGGGTGAACAAGCTGAATGGGAAACTCTCCTCTTAAACTGCTATTGCCCCAATCTCTATCTCTCCCTTGAGCCAGCTGGTCACTACCATCTCCCACAGGTGACCTCAGGGGTGCACTGAGAACAGAGAGGATGCGCTCCTTGTGCTGGCATTGCATCGGCACTTGGTAGTTGGAAGGAGTTAACTGTTACTGTATGGGAATCCCTGCCGGGCATAACACCTCCCATTTGATATGGGACACGGAAGAAGTTAACACAGAGAAACAAGCCAGGAGGTTCCAGGAAGCCAAACCTTGGATAGAGATTCCTCAGCCTGCCCCACAAGGTGCATCAGCCACTAGCACGTCCTAGGGCATGCCAGTCCTAGCTTTCTGAGAGGCTTAGCCTTTCATGTCTGTGGGCATAGAGGAAGAAACAGGAACTGGAGCATGCAGAGAAATTGAATCTGCATTGGTATGTGTGTTTTTCTTATTGTCAAGAATGTAAATAATCCATAACACAAGATTTTCAGGTCCTTCCAGCTGTACTTTCGGCCTCGTAGCTGGGCAAAGCCTGTAATGAGCTATTCCAGTGGTGAGCAAGTTCGGTATGTGGTGTTGCTGTGCTGCCAGCCAGAGAAAAAGAGGAGGAATCCCTGGGAGTAGTGCAAAGGTTGCTGTTCCTGCCCTTTGCCAAGATCTATGAGTTTAGGGTAGTGATCCTCAACCAGGCACAGATCCTTTGAATGGTGCTACAACGTGTGGGATGTATATGCACAGGGTCAAGATGGTTCATGACTGGCTGCTCCCCAATTCCCACTGCCTGGCCCCTCTGCAAGGAGATGAGCACTGTGATATATAAATAAGTGTTTGAAATGGGGTGTTGCTCAATTCACAACAGTTACGGAGAAGTGGCTTGAGTTTAAGAAGGTGGAAAACTGCTGGTTTAGGGATTTGGGACTTTGCAAACTCCCTTCCCAATGGAAAATTTCAGGAAATTAGAAGGAACTTCTGTATTGGAAAAAAAAAGTGTCAGAAGTATGCACCACACAAGAATGCATTTAAACAACATAGAGATTGAAGGATTAAATACTTGGAAGGCAGGAAATGCCACCCTAAGATTGCATAAGATTTTTTTTTTTTTTTTAAGATTTCTTTCTCTAGGATTTTGGAGCTGTCTGGCCTGCAAAAATCTGACTGTAGCATGTGTAAATTCTGTGATCTGGAATTATTTGGTTACAAGCCATATAATGCTCTTTTCTATGCAGTCTAATTAAGTGTGGAAAAAATGCTGTCTCCTGCAATGCTACATGACTACTTGACTGCATTAAAGAAGGGTTGCCTTCTGCACGCTTTCCCAAGCATGCAAGAGCCCTTCTGAACTTTGCACGATGTCTGCAGAGAGGGAGTTTCTTAGGTTTCTCTCTAATGATTCTGTGCATTTGTTTTTCAGCAGTTCATAATTCCTTTTGCCAAGTATATTACCTTATGTAGACCCAAGTTAAATTTAAGCAGTGCTTTCTGGTCAACTTAGGCCTCAAATTTAGGTTATATAACTTCTATGTTTATAAAACCTAGTGTTTCCATTGTGTTTCTTAAATGTCAGTGGAAACTATTTTTTTAATAAAACATCTAAACAGGCCCCTGCATTGCTTGGAGCTAATATGCTGCAGCATCCTGCAAACATCTAACTGAAAATACAGCCAGTTAGAACCAGGACTATAAACAAAAGAGACAGCAATCATTCACATTTCTAAATCCAAGCTGAGAATGAAAATAATGGAAAATGGTATTAAACCCCAATTCTGCAAAATTTAAGTCCACCATCTTCAATGGACCATTCTTGTCTTTACAGTTATGCCTGTACTTAAGATCTTTCGGGGTTGGCTCCTGACATATTAAAAAAAAATCACATCTTGTTGTTAAGTGTGATTAGTGTGAGGTTTTTTTAAACGTATGAATTTGAACCTGAATGTGCCTGTCTAACCTGTCATGCAGCACAAACTCAGCACGGAGTTTCTCACAATCTTCTCCAGTTTTCACTCAGTAAAATAAGTTTGTGTTGTTGTCACCTTTCACCACCTCACTTTCTACTTCCTCTTGCACATCATTAATATACCCTGCTAAACAGCCCTGATCCACACACCGGTCTCTCACATGCCTCAATATTTACTTCTCTTTGCTCAGAGGAACAGATGTGTGTTACGACTCTTCTGCCACTTGCCCAGGACTTTGTCACTTACCCTACACTTGAGTGAAGTAAGTTGCTTTTCTTAATAGTCTCCTCTGCCAGAGTTTATCAACAGCCTTTTGAAAGTGTAAGTAAATGTTATCTGACAGGTCACTTTTAACCACTTGTGAACGGCTCGTGTGAACTTCTCCCCTAGTGTATCATAAAAATGTAAAGAGGTGCAATTTTCCAATATGTTTCTTTTGCAGACAAGTGTATGTATCAAAGTGTTGTGTGCCTCTCTCCTCTCGATTCCCTCAGCCCACGGATAGGAAGACAACATTTAGATCTTGCAGCTGTTCTAATTTTGCAGCCAGGTTTACTTCCCTGCCATATCTGTCTGCTTCCATTCCACATCCATACCTCGCTCCCCGAGATGCTTCTTTAGCACCCGTTACTGTGTTATCCCCATTTTAGAGATGGGGGAAGTAAGGCAAAGATTACATGACTTGCCCACAGTAGAGAAAAGGGCCCTCATTTTCAAGTCCCAGGCAGATACTTTGCCTATTGCACCATCTTTCCTCCCCCCCCCCC